CAGACAAGAGAGACAAATAATAATTAACTAATTCCCATGTGGACATTGCTATACAACCCTTTAAAGTTCATGATCAAAGAATGTTAGAAGGCACCTAGATGCACTTGGTGAAGGAGCAGTCTTGGAATCAGAGAACAGTGACTGTCTAATTTTACCATGTGCTAAATGGAACCAATCTACTTTATGGGGTTGCTGTGAAGATGGATTATAAGACATATGTGAATCCCTGACAGGTGTTTTATTTTCTTCTTCTCACCAGGAAAAGGAAAAGAGGGGAAGGGAGTGCACTGGGGAGAGTAGCTCTGCATATCCAGGTCTACACTGAGAGGTTAATAGCGCTCTACTCCCCACAGCAGGGCTTCATGGAGAATGTGGCTGGTCAGAAGCTGCTTTCATGGCAGGGAGGACATGACCTGGCCTGGCTGTTCTTTCTCAACCTTTTGAAATCTTCGCTCCTCCTTTTCCTCCCACACACAATAGCTACGGAAGTCATCTCACATTGCAGTATAATTTCTAATCATTTTAATCACCTCTAAAGGAGCGACAGTGTCTACTGTGAGGTGATACCTTCTACATCTTGAGTTTATGTCTGAGTCTCTCTTGACTCCGGGTCATTTAGACATTGCCTCCTCCAACTCCATACCCCTGTGGCAGCATTTTATAGTCCTTATTCTTCTAACAATTGCTTTTCTCAAAGACTCCTTCATGCATTAGTAGACTTCTTGGCATAGACCATGCTTTGGGAAGTAATCACATCTCCCGTCACTTTGATTTACTTCACAACTCCAGGGTTACAAGATATCTTTGCTTGGACTTAGTCTTCTAGAATATTTTGACATTGCAAAACACTGAAGAGTATATTGTACCAAACAATGCTGTCCTCAGTACGGGGAGCAACCAAATGACCTAATTCATCTTTCCAGCTTCTAACTTCTATGGTATCTTACAGTATAGAATCTATTCATGGCATAATAGTCCTTTATATTTAGAAATGAATATATCATCTAATTCTTTATTTCCATGTTGAACCACAATGAAGTTTCTGATGAAACCACACATTAAAGTTAGAAAACAGATGAATATCCTTCAATATCTGCTAAATTCCTTTGATTAAAAGGTAGAATTGAAATTGATGAGGTCTATACATTTTATAATTATCTGAGTTATTCTTGTGCAGGCAGTAAAAAGAGAACAAGAGCACATGCTCCTCTTCTAAGTCATATTTATCTTTCACCAAAACTTTTCACCCAGCCTAAAATCAGGCAATCATCTGGTATCTTTGGCTGTAGTACATCAGTCCCACTTGCTGCACTAGATAAAGTATATGAATAATGTTCTGTTTTATCATTATCAGGGTTTAAGTATAGCAAGCACTTCAGATCTTCAAAGATATTTGTCATTGTTAATTACAATGATATAATTAGAAACAACAGGATCTGACTGATCCAGTGGAACTTTCTTGCCGACAGTTTGTTAGCATTTCCCAAGCAATTTAAGAAATTCTTCATTTATTTTGAAGAAAAACATACATCTACTTTCTTGGTTTGCTGTTCTACACATTAACAGAGAGAAAAAACTAAATTCCATTCATTGTTAAACGGTATACTCGATTCTGTGAAGAGGGCCCATTTGTCTTTTATGTACCACATGAGACAAATGCTCATCCTAAAATCTGGTTCCCAGGACAGCCCCTGACAGATGGTGATATGGTTATAGATACATCCAGGAGTGGTAGATATTTACTGGGTGATTTCCATCAAAGTCATTAAAAGAAAAGTATTTATCACAGATGATTAAAAAAAGTGATATTTTGTTAATCATTTTTAATAGACTTTATTTTTTAGAGCATTTTTAGGTTCTCAGCAAAATTGAGTGGCAGGCAGAGAGATTTCCCATTAATAATTTTTTACACCATGTGAGGCTGTCAAAAATGCAAAAGCAAGGCTGCTTTCTAAGTGGCCCATAATTAGTAAATGGATTCAAGGGCAAAGACAAGAGTAAAGGTAGATATAATTGACACAGCTGCATCACTGGCGGGCTCCTGGTCCACTTGCACAGCTGAGGCAGGCTAACCCTGTTTAGCAGCTGGAATACATCCAGCAGTCAGCATAGGCCCTGAGCAAGTGGCTGAATCCCTGGGAAGAAGGGTATGAAGAAAGGGTAGCCTGGCTACCTGAAGAGGAGCAAAGAAAGGTCTTCAGGAGTCTGTGGGAACCCAACATCAGAATCATAAGATTTCCAGATCATTCCAGCCAGGGATATTTTAAATAAATATTTTATAAGTCATTCCAAAGTTTTGGTCTATTCTGATACTCCGACCACCTTGCAAATAGAGGGCTCCTAGCAACCTGAATAAAGTATATCAACTGAAAAAGAGACACAATCTAAAATTGAGAATTCTGTTTTATTTTGTGGACTTTCTGAGGACTCAAGCGGGGGAGTTAGCCTCTCAGATTGCTCTAAGGGACCTGCTACAAAGAGGCAAGGGAGGAGCCAGGATGTACAGGTTTTTTACAACAAAGACCAGATAGTCAGATCATCGAAAGATTAGTTAATTAAAGAAAACAAGCTATCTCAAGGAATTTAGTGCTTTTTTACTTATGGGAAGATACAAGACTCTAGGCTCATTGAAATCATTCCTTTGGTAAGCACCTTAGCTACCTAGGGCCAGTATCCTGCTCTTTCCCATCCTGAGTCCCCTCAGGGGCTCCGCCTCAGGGGTAGGAGGGGGTGAGGTGGCTTGATGGCTGCAACATCCTTTGCTCACTGATACAGCAGGCAACATATTTTATTTACAAGCACCTCAAGCCTTTACTTATAATCTCATTAGGACCTTGAACCTGAGAGCAGATCCACTCGGTAATGCTCAGTAAGACTCATGTGATTCAGGGACCCCTTTTCACTTCAACAGTTACCAGGTTTGATCAATGAGAAAAGCCAGTGGCCCTGCCCAGGGGGTCATCACAACCTGCCCTGTGAAATCAGGGAAACTCAGTGTTGTGGTAACTGATATTATTGGTGTTTATATGAATAAAACGTTTACATTTTATTGCCTCTTTCTTTCGTTTTACCACAGTTTCAACACCTAGCATTTTCTTACCGTTGACTTAAAAATTATTCAACTAGAGCTGATTAGTAGTCTATAATTTTTCTCTCTATTTTACCCACATAAGAGAACCTTCTCCCCATTTCTCATTCAGATTTCCAGGGCACATGATAAGGTATGAAAAATGGCTAATCTGAGTGTCAAAAGCCCATCTTCACATGGCGAAGATTCATAAATGCTTCAGGAAAATGAACAATTTATAAAAGCAAGAAGGTCCAAGCTGTTCTTTCTTAAAACCGTGTATGCAGCAGTCCAGAGAAGATTAATTTCAAATCCCTCTATTTTTTTAAAAGCACAAGTTATGAAGCACTATAAATAATCTTATGATATCTCTTAATAAATAAATAAAATTAGTGTACCTCCAAGGCCTGAATGTTCTTTGTGTTTTTGCTGATTTACCACATTTTCTCATAACTGCATCATATCACTACTCATAAATCACTGCGTATCTATCAAAATCTATTATGCATATCCATCATGATTCTAATCTGAATAAAGCATAATCTTCCTAAAATACAAAAAGGTATTTCTAAGATGCAAACTGATTGTGTTAATTGTCTGCATAAAAATCTTCAGTGACCTTCCTCCATGCCTATAGTATTATACTAAATCTTAACATGATTTTTCCAGCTATAACAAGAATACAACCTACCTCCCGGGCCTTGCAGTCCTTTTCTTACAGTCTAGGTGTCCTAGACAACTGTTTCTTTTCCAGATTTGTTTAGGCCCATTTCATCTCTCTGCTTCGGGTCAAATTCTTCTTTCTGATTTATAGCTTCCTTTCCCATTGCTATACTTCCCACTATCAACATCCTTACTCACCGTCAGTGTCTTTCAAAATCTACCAGGTTCAGTTTAAGTATCATCTCTTTCAAAACCCTTGCTCCCAGAGGCTGTCGCAACCAGAAGTAATGGAGTCCAAGTTTGTACTTCTTGCATCATGACAGGCTGATAAACTGAGAGATAAATTGTTTGGACAAAGAATAGCAACTTTATCTGGAAAGCCAGCAGACCAAGAAGATGGTGGACTAGTGTCCCAGAGAACCATCTTGTCTGGGTTTGGATGCTAGTGTTTGTTTTCTTTTGTTTTGTTTTTAATAGAACAAAGAGGGGTAGGTGAAGAGGTAAAATAAAAAAGGCAGTAAGTTGTTGCAAATATTTCTTGGTTCCAGCCAGACTCCAGAGGGGATGTGCTAATTAATTTTTTCCTGTAGACATTCACAGGTGGGCCTGGTCAGGATGTTTCCTGAGAGCTAACCAAAGGTATTTTAACTTAATGCTAAAATAGAACCATGGGAGGCAGGGTTCCCCAAGATGTACCATAATGTAGACTTTAAGCTGTAGGCAACATCCATTTAGTGATTAAGTTGTAGCAAAAGCAATAGAGTACAAAGATTAAAGTAAAAGAAACAGATCCAATATGGAATCAGATTTCTCATCTTTATATGGTAGTATCTTCATCCTTCGGGTTGCCATAGCAGTTGGCTCCTACATCTCTGACATTATTTATCACTCTGCACAACTTTGTAATTATGTGTGTAATATCAGGCAGCCTTCACACAGCCTCTCATCTCATAGGGCATGTTGTCCACAGTAGGCCCTAACTGAGCTTGTCTTGAATCTGATCGGGACTACCATTAAGAACTAAAGCTCTTAGACTGTATTAACATTCTAAAAGACTTTGGTCCAATGTTAACATATTATTTTCTCATAAATTCTGTCATACTTGGTAATGACAAAGAAAGTCTATTATTAGGGCCAAATTTAAAGACAAAGGAGCCCAATAACACAACAACAAAAAAACAATAATTACAGAGTTTAACAAGAACCACTCTCTGCAAGTTCAAAAAAGCATTAAAAGTTAATACTCAATTAGTGATTAAAGGGAAAATAATGTGTGTGTTACAAGGACCCCTCATGTGACTCCAGCCTCTTGTCCATCTGGTTTCCTGAGGAAGCAATTACAATATGAACTGCCCTAATGCTATCTGGCCATATCAGAAGCTGGGAAGCCTTGTGAAAATTCCAAATGTGCCTCTAATATAATCACTATCTGGGTTGCAATTACACTGAGGCTTGCTATCTGTTAGAACCTTTATATCTTGGATTCCCTTGGTAATTATACAGTAGCTTCCATTTAGAAATTGACTCCTCCCTTTGAGTTTACTTACACCAAAAGCAGTACAGTCGGCCCTTCATATCCATGGGTCCTGCATGCACAGATTGATCCAACTGCATATAAAAAAAATCTGAAAAATAAAATTCCAGACAGTTCCAAAAAGCAAAATTTGAATTTTCCACACACTGACAACTATTTACATAGTATTTACAACTATTTATACAGAATTTACATTGTCTTGGTTATTATAAGTAATCTAGAGATGATTTAAAGTGAATGGGAAAAATTTAATAACATCTGCCACCTAGAAAGCTCATAGAACATGTGCATTTTGGGTTCATTTTCAGTTTTTGTTGTTACTCTTTTTCTTAATGAAAATGAGCATTCCTTTTCTGTTTAAAAAAAAATTAAATAAAAAATTAAGTATATGGGAGGATGTGTGTAGGTTATATGCAAATACTATGCCATTTTATGTAAGGGATTTCAGCATCCAGGTATATTGGTATTGAGGGTGCTGTGGAGGACACTGGAACGAATCTCCCCTCCCCCATATCAAGGGACAGCTGTACTCAGTAGTACTAAGGCTGGAAGCATTGGGGAGTTCCCACAGCCATTAAAAGCATCCTAGCCTATACTCAAGCCTAGAGACATCTTATCTCCCAGTAAAGCTCCTAACTTTCCCTCCTCTACACTTTTGGAAGCACAACGCCTGGTGTTTACTTTTCCCACCCTTGAAGCCTAGAAACCATCTCAGAAATATTAAGGAGATAAGAGTACCTATAAAAGCTCTTAAGATACTCTTAAATTTACAGCAAACAATGGACTATTTACTTGCCTTATCTGAGGATGGGTGTTCCCTTTAGTTCATTAGAGGAAAGCCTGGGGCAGAGGAAATTTGCACAAGGGACTCTGGGCTTCCCAAATCTCCTAGGAAGTAGCCAGACATTCAGGGCACTAGCCCCTCTGACCTCTGCCAGTCCAGCCAGATTCTAAACATGACATATTGTTTCAAACAAAAACCCTCCCTCTTTTTTATTGAAACTACAAAAATGTTTTTATAACTAAAGACAAATGTAGGTGGATCAGGTAGATGCAAAAAGACTACTGCATCGATCAGGTGTGAAAATGAAGACTTTCAAACAGAATACGCTGAGGCTGTTTATTTGTAGCTTGCTATAGCAAGGAAGTCAGCCACCATCACTTGTGTTTGGCAGAGACTCAAGAGATAGGCAGGCAGGGGGCAGGGAAAGTTTTCTGATTAAAAAAACAAATGTTTCAAGTATACTTTGCAAGTTTTTGAAATCGGGAAACTGGAAGTGGGCCAACTAGAAGCTGGGCATCCTATGTGATTAGTTTGGGGAGCATATTTGGCTTTTTCTGGTTGATCTTGAGATTTATGAAAGTAGTGACAAAAATTCGGGAAGCTGGCCTTTATTGAGCAAGTCCTAGCTGTCTGGGGCCAATTGCAGCAGAAGCTGTGGTTTGGTTTCCTGGGCTGGTCGTAGAGGTCATGCGTCAGAGATCTAGTCTATGTGCAGTCTGGCCATTATCTGTTTGTAAATTCAGACTCTCACAGGACTTTTGCTGTTATTCCTTTTTAAGTCATTTGAAAGTAAAATAGTGTCTAGCAAATCATTGGAAACTTAAGAGTAGAAACAAACTAAATTGTCTCTGGATATTATCTCTAGAACCCAGCACAGTGTCAGCCCTCAGGACGCGCTTCTCATTTAAAATATCCACTTTAAAAAGAAATTTTAAAATCACTACCACATAGTCATTAAAAACCAGAAGTTGCCAATGTCCTTAAACTTAGAAGTCATTAACGGTAAACATTATTAATATTTTCCTCTTTTAGCATGAATTTGCTCTGTAGCCACGGTAATTGGATGCTTTTCTTTCTCTACAAATGTTAGTGAGTGAATAGCACAATTTTTTCGCTGAGTGTAGTGTTAGTGTATCTTGCTCATTGTCCTTGCCCTCCAAATTCTAGTTCCATCATTCCTCTATCACCTCAGTAAAGATGTGCCCAAGCAGCATCCTTTTCACTCCCAATTAGGCAAATTCATTAGGTTCAATCTCTATGTTACTGATTTTGATATATATTCCTAATATTATATATATATATATATATATATATATATATATATATATATATATATATATATATATAACTTTACAGGTACTAACTCTTATGTTTCAATTGCCTCCATGTTATTGTCTATGTCCAAATCATCTCTGTGCTCCTACCACTTGTCAGAGTATATGGAACATGTGGAATGAATGATCAAATGAATCCAGCAAGTCAAGTAAACTTTTATAAAGTTTGAGTTCTGATAGTCAACCTGGAGATTGATTGAGATGAAACTTGTGGGACCATATCACAGGATACCAATACAATAGGATGCAAAATGTGAAACAAAGAGTTTACGTTATTTATTCATTTATTCAACAAATATTATTAAGACTGATTTTATTTTAGCCACTCTGCTAGGAAATGGGAAAATATTAGTAAACAAAATACAGGTGAATTATATCTAGAAAAATCTCTTCTTGAAAAGATCTTCCTTCCATCTCTGGCTACAGAGTTCCATTTCCATGAATTTGATAGTGAACCAAGACCAGGTGGATGACAACATGTTTAAATTCCCATACTGTATTTTTTCCGCTTCTTCAATATCTACAGCGTGTAGACATGAACCCAGTGAACATTCAGTCAATGCATACTGAATTGGATTTTTATCGCTGTTTGTCCAGTAAAGTTACTCCAACATCATGACCATCCAAGGCTTAGAAGACGGCTACTTTTTCTCTCCTTCCTTGGCTCACACCAACTCAAGTCTAGACAATTATTTTGGTTTTCTTGGTATGCAACGCTGTGAGTAAAAGGACTCGTAGTGTCAAACCTATTGGCTAAAATAAGGCAGGGAAGGACACAAAATATAATAACACTAGAAAATATTGCAGGAGTGAAGACTATACTTACCACTTACAAAACAGCCTGGCATTAGGGATACAATGTCTAACTTTAGAACCAGGGTTGCAGTTCTTACCTCTCTCTTATATAATGGTGTGATCTTGGACAAGACATTTCAGCTTCCTGGGTTTTAATGTCCTCATCTGTAATAGGCAAAGATTAGAAAAGGTTAATTTAAAATCAATAGTATTATTCTAGGCAAAAATCTGGCCAAAGCATCTAGACTATCTCAGTTCCGTAGGCCTGATAGTTATCCTAGTGTTTAATAGTCCTCCTCAAGGCAGTTCTAACTTCTGCATGTTCCCAAGCAGGGTATTGAAGCGTAACAAGAGTTTTTCCTGGGATCCACATGGTCAAGATATTAGCCTTGTTGTTTATTCCCACCCTGATTCTTCTCATAGTATGCTGTCTTCCTTCCCCTCCCATCCAGAAATAAATGAGGAAAGAATGAGGATAAAATGTAGCAATGATTTTGAGGCAAATAATGTTCTTTTCCCACTTCAAGAAAAAGACTCTTTCAATTCAGTCTTTCATGTTTCTTTACCTGTCACTGACTTTTTCTTCCTAAATTTTAGGTATAGTTTCACTTTTACAGATGAAAGCATGAGCCTCCAAATTCATGATTTTTGACTTAAATGAACAACAACCTGGCTTCTGTAAGTTTAAACATATAATCTGTCCAGATGCTCCAAAAGTCTCACATACACACATATCTCCTAATTCCATCCCTACTAATATATATATATACATATATATATATATACACACACACACACACACATATATATACACACACCTATATATATTATACACTTTTAAAATACACAGTGAATACTTAAGGGTTGATCCTTAAGATAAGGAAAGGAGGATTATTTCTTTACTTCTTAGCCCATTATATGGCTTGCACCTCTTCTTACTCCCTTGTTGTCTGGTCAATATTTTTTCCATAGCACATGCCATAATTCCTAGCTCCCCTAGCAGACTACAAGCTTTGTAGGGTAGGCTCTGTGTTTTACCGATATTAGATCCATCACCTAACATATAATTTGACTTGTTGAATAAACAACTGAATAGATGGATGAATATGCGATCCGTCCTAACAACAAGGGCTTTTAAGAATATTTCTATAATTGAACTGTCACTGTAAATTCATATCTATATGTAAATGATGGGTGGGACCATCGGGCAACTTGGAATTTAAAACAGAATTGCTGTGTAACTTCGCATTTGGATTCAGGGAAAGTAAAGTGCTAGGAATTGAGAGAGAGACAGACATAAGTCTTCCCTCATCATCAAGGCAACAAAACTTCAGCTTTGTTCACTACAAAATGGCAGAGAGGTTGCCTTCAGTCATGACCTCAGCTACCTGGTTTTAGAATAATCTGAGAATGACAGAAAAATATGAGTCTCAGTTCATATTTCAGAGTCTCTTAAAAAAAAGGCAATCCCTCACACCATACACAAAAATAAACTCAAAATGGCTTAAAGGCTTAAATGTAAGACAAGACATAATAAGTCTCCTAGAAGAAAACAAAGGCAAAACATTGTCTGACATAAATCTTAGCAATGTTCTCCTAGGGCTGTTTACCCAGGCAATAGATATAAAAGCAAAAATAAACAAATGGGACCTAATTAAACTTACAAACTTTTGCAGAGCAAAGGAAACCATAAGCAAAAAAAAAGACAACCTATGGAATGGAAGAAAATATTTGCAAATCATGTGACTGACAAAGGTTTAATTTCCAGAATATATAAACAGCTCATACAACTTAATAACAAAAAAACAAACAACCCAATCCAAAACTGGGCAGAAGACCTAAACAAGCAATTCTCCAATGAAGACATACACATGGTCAATAGGCATATGAAAAAATGCTCAATACTGTTAATTATCAGAGAAATGCAAATCAAGACTACAATGAGGTATCATCTCACACCAGTCAGAATGGCCATCATTCAAAAATCCACAAAAGATAAATGCTGGAGAGACTGTGGAGAAAAGGGAACCCTCCTACGCTGTTAGAATGTAGTTTGGTGCAGCCATAATGGAAAACAGTATGGAAATTCCTCAAAAAACTAAAAATAGAATTAGATCCAACAATCCCACTCCTGGGCATATATCTGGAGGGAACTCTAATTCGAAAAGATACACGTACCCCGATGTACACAGCAGCACTATTTACAATAGGCAAGACATGGAAATGAGGCTGAGGTCCACCTCCAAGGTAACAGCAGGGGGAGCTATGCTGACCTACTGTCCAGCAAAACAAGCAAAGCCTGTGAACTGTATTTTGAGAACAAAAACAAGGAACAAAAATTTAGTCTCTGGAAATTGTCCTAATGGCATACAGCAAATGAAGAAACATTTATTCAGGAAAACCTACTATAACTTGGTAAGAACACTGAGTCAGTGCATTTGAGCCACAGCCTGCTCTCTCCATCACTAAAGGAGAATTAATAAAATGGCCAAATTTAGGCCAAAAAACCAAACGACCAGAGGCTAACTGCTCCAGCGTATCCTAGTATAGGGCTGAGAGATTTTTCCCAGGTGGAGAGGCAGTTTTTAAGAAAAGAGACCTCTGACTCTTTCCCCAAAAGAACTGACTGTATTTGAAATAGAGTTTGATGAAGTTCAAGCCTAAGGATGTTGGCGTTCCTGAAAACAATAGCTCCTCTTAATTAGGAGTAAAAAGCGTAACCACAGGCCAGTTAGCTCACTAGAGAGAAACAGAGAAAGAGATAACTAAGAAGTACCCTCCTGAGTACCAAAGATAAAGACTGTTCTCAAAAGAATACTCCTGCCTGAATTTAATTGGATCAGACTACAGAGCTATTTGTGCCTCAGGACACCGTCAAAACCAGTAGAGTAATCAGCTAGCAATTAGTGGAATCTCACAGGTGGGTGTGATACCAAATGAGGCAGAATGATCAGGAAGGGGACACCCAAAGGGAATCCTGCCAGAACCACTGTCATCCCCGATAACTGTGTGCACGCCCATGGCTGCGCCCTCTCAGGCACGGACGGTTTCACACCGCAGGGGAGGTAAACGCCACTAAAACAGTCTAGCATGTCACTAGACAAAGAAATAAGCAAATAACAGTAAAAACAGGCCTCAGAGCAGGGGAGGGGAATCATTAGTGCTTGCCTAGAGTTGGAGGTAGGAAGATGGGGAGGTGATCAGGATCAGGAGGGTGGGGTTTCTTCTTAGACTGATGCAAATGTTCTCAGGTTGACTGCGGTCCTGGCTGCACAACTGAAAATATATTAAAAGCCACAGGTGCATTAAGTGGTAAGTGAGTTATATTTCAAAACAGATTTTTTTAAAAAAAAAGACTCTATGGTACTTTTTAGGCATAGGAAATGACAGTCCTTGCTCAAATACGTTATTTAGACAGGCAAGTGAAAGAAATATTTTTCAGCCAAAGAGAAAATTGTAGACTCGCCTGGGTTTATTCAAATTGTTTGGCAGGGGACCTGTGGGAACTGGTTTCTGGGTTGATGTCCAGCCAGCATTTCCAGTGACCGGCAGCAGTGATGTCAGGGTGGCACGTCATTTGTCATGTTTGTTACTGGCTGAAATAAACACACCTGCCTGTGGGCCATGCACGGGATACGTGATATCTTCCCAAACAGGCTGTGTTAAGCACTCTACAATCCTGTGTATTTTATCACTAATCTCCTATTGACCTTATGCCTGTGAGCATCAGACCACTGAGGAAAGTGAAAGATAACTAGATACGTGAATCTAATTAGAAAGCTCCATGTCCTCCTCTTTGCTTAAAGAGCTTACAATTTTCGGGTGATGTTCAGTTTTTTATGACGACTTTTGGGTTTGTTAGCTAGACATTTTCTTTAACTCTTCATTCATTTGCTTTCTCAAAATAAAAATCTGTCTAATTCCTAAGTTTTGATATGGCTGAGTCAAACAGCCTTAGAGAAGTTCATTCTAACTTGAAAAGGAGTTTTTGCAGTCAGCTCCTGTTACTTAATTAGCATTGACTGAGGAAAGCCATTCCTCTGCAAAGAAACTTCTACTCTGTGACTTTCAGTGTGGCATGGAGGGGGCATATTTAGGAGGAAAAGGTTATCAACTTAGACAGCCAAATCAGTAAAACTCATTGAGCTGATATGTATTCAGTCATCCGGCATCACTAATTCAATACGTGCCACGTACAGTGGTGGCGCTTAGGGACATGACAGTGCCTAAAACAGGCGTGGCGCCTACACTCGGGAAGGGCACCTCCAGGGGCCTTGGCCCTGTGGTCCACTCAAACTGGCAACCTGACCAGATGTCTGTGCTGCGGACTGTTGTTTCTATGCCTATCCAGTTTGCTTCTCTTGGCCTCAGAGAGAGGGAATATCCCAAGTCTTTGTATTCAGAGGAAGGTTCACCCTCATTTCCCTGTGTGTCTGTCCAAAAGAGGCCAGAGAAATGAAGTAATGGATTATAGATGTTTACACAATCTTGACAGATAGCCTACATTATGATGCAAAATTACCAACAAGTTTGCTGTGCTTAACTTTAGGCTATGTGTGAAACTGAACTATAGCAACAAAAGCTTTTTCCTTATGCACCATTTCCCAATTCTTAAAGCACTTCTATCGCTGATCGTCATGAAATGAATCGTCACATTTAAAAATTATTGACAAGAGGTTGTTACTTTTCAAAGAATTCCAGGAAGACAAGAGTTTCAGAGTAAGATGTAACTTACAAAGGGATTGGGGAAAAAAAATTCAGTGAAGTAGAGGAAGGCAAATCGGTCTCATTGACAGGGTAGTAAGATTAATAATGAATGTATTTCTCTTAACAATTCTCAAGCTGATTCTTGTGAAAAATAAGAAGTCAAAAATTACCGATAATCACTCGAGAGACATCCAAGCTATCAAAAACTGGAGGCAAAAAAACCTCAAAAGACTCTCCACGCTGTTGTTGGACGTTCACATGGCTCCCTTGCTCTCACTGTGGACTCATCTTTTAGGCCAAACTCAGGTGAGGGCTTCCAGGCCCTACGGATGTTACATCAGTTTCTCCGGGGGCGGTGTCTCTCTCCTTAAGCCCTGCCTAGTCACCAGTGCACTTCAACTTTAAAACATCTTTAGGATTTGTTTCTCTGTTTTTAACATTGAAAAAACTTTTAAAAT